CTACCATAATTTCTTAAAGGGTATTTATTCAGCACAAATTTACAAACTGAGTTGACTTTTGAAAGAGAGCGAGGGAGGGAAGATTCATTTCACTGAAGTTCCCTGATTGTGAATTTAGAGGAGAGGAGGAAGGAAAAGGAAAGAAATAGAAGGAAAAGAAAGAATAAAAAAGGAAGAAGCAGAAAAATAGGAGGAGAAAGAGGAGAGGAAGATAAAGCTGAAGGAGGAGAGAATGAATGAATAAATGAAAAAAAGTATTGATTAAGCACTTTACTATGTGCCAAGCACATAGTAAGCATTGCTGGTACAAATAAAAAAAATTATATAGTCCCTCCTCTCAATATTAATAGAGAAAGACAGAACACTTAAGGGTGTGGGACCAAGGATAAATGTTTTGGATAGGGAAGCCAGAGAGAATGGTGATTAAACTCAGCAGTTGATTTACATGTCCCTACCAGGAATGGTAGTGATAATATACTTGTTCTCAGAACTGAAATCTAAAAGGGAAGAGAAGTATGGGAGAACTAGGGACATTTAGCAGCCTGTGTTGTAGAAATGACTGAGAAGTAGCAGGGTAAAGGGATGAGCTGGGTAAAGTGAAGGATCACCATCAGATCCCTGGGCCACAGCTGTAGACGGAGGTGAAGGCTCCAGTGTAGAGTGAATGGCATGGAAGCATTTCATTCACTGGGAAGTGAGATTTTCCATCTTACACCAGGACTGAGACCTGAGCATAGAGAATTTTCACAAGTTTCTGGCTGCTCTTCTTTCTAATTCTCACACTTTTGTCCTTCCACTTTCCCTTGGCTTCTGCCTATGCTTGCTCCTGGTAGAAATATAATGTTATTTGAAAAAGATGTTCCAAATAATGAAATAAATCATGGTGCCAAAGTAACCCATAAGAATCATAATAAACTTGAATTCTTTAAAAAAACAAAACAAAGCACTCACTCATTCACAAACATACGATTGTTTAAAGTACAATTGTACATAATTAAAGCAGACAAATCAATTATTCTTGAACAGTCCAATTTTTAAAAAAATTAAGTAAATTGGTAACATTGAGATAATTTTTAGGGGCTAACACCTTCTTATAATAATAGCTCAGATTTGTACAGTACTCTGCATAACCTTATCTCATTTGGTGTTCATAACAACCTCTTGAAGTTAGGAGCTATTATTATCCCCATTTTCTAGGTGAAGAAATTGAGGGTCAGAGAGGCTAAGGGATTTGCTCAGCGTCACACAGCTTGTGTCTAAGAGGATTTGAACCTAGGTCATCCTGGCTCCAAGTCTATCAACTATTCTCTGCTATCTCAATCCAGGACTGTCTATAGGCATCACCTATAGATTCTAAAATAAGTTGTTCAAAGTCCAAATTTATAATTTCACTTATACAAAGTAAACCTTTCATGATTCTATTTTTAAAATATCTCAAACATAAACTCTGAAGATTTCTGAAAAGTAAAGCCAATGCTGAAATAATGTGAAACATATTTTGGACTAATATGCAGAATAAGAAATGCAATTTTGGACATGACCAACATAGAAATATATTATACATGACTATGTTTATGTGGTACAGGGGTCCCTTTTTATTTTTATTTTCCTCTTTCTTTTCAGTGCATGTAGGGAGATGGGAAAGTTAATTCTGTCCAGACACTTAGCTAGTCCAGTCTCAGAAAAGTACATAAAAACATGAAGCTCTACCAGCACACAGTTGTCATCACAAAGAATTCCACATTACAGTGTCATAAATGTTCTTTTTACAGTATAGTCCATTGCCTGTTGGTAAAAAAAAAAAAAAAAAAAAAAACCCTGGATT